ACACGGGAAGGCAATGAGCAAGAGTACTTTTGCTAAAACAGATTAACGAGCAATAATCTGCCTCACTCTGGGGACCTGATGAAACGGATAGCAGACACCTGGTTCAACAGCTGAAGGCCAATCGAGCAGGCACCTCAAAAGTATCACTGTCAATCGATCCTACACCCATAAAGAGTGAGCAGCCCATAGAATGGCCTGGGTTGCAAAGGAGCACAGTGCTCATCCAGCTCCAACCCCCTGCTGTGTGCAGGTCACCAACCAGCAGCCCAGGCTGCCCAGAGCCACATGCAGCCTGGCCTTGAATGCCTGCAGGGATGGGGCATCCACAGCCTCCTTGGGCAACCTGTTCCAGTGCCTCACCACCCTCTGGCTGAAAAACTTCCTCCTCATATCCAACCTAAACCTCCCCTGTCTCAGATTAAAACCACTCCCCTCCTTGTCCCATCAGGCTCTGGTGCTCTCCATCAGGGCAGCAAGTTGCACTTGGGACTGCCCTCAAGTAAGGATGTCACTTGAGGTTTGTTCCGTGCAGAGATCCAATCCCTTGCACTGCAATGCCAAGATGCCCTACCAATACTGATCCTCGCCAGGTGGCCAGTAGTTTGTTTTAAGCCTTGTTGGCTTTGCTAAGATTGTATCTTAGGTTGACTGGGAAGTAATGATCCCTAAAACATACATGACTGACCAAGTGTGGGGCGAGGAGCAGATCCAGGTACAGCTGCGCTCCCTACTTCTGTGGTGCAGGGAGTTCTCTCTGAACCTAACTCAGCAGGAGGGTCTCCTGTCTGTGAGTGTTTAACCCTACCCTCTCCTGTGCATCCAGCCCTGTCTTATATGAGGGTTAAGTTGCTGTGAAATCACTACATTGTGTCTATGTTATATCAATAAATACATCTCTCTCACCAGTACAGCGTAGTTGTTGCCATCTGAGGCAGCAGGACTGGTTGCCATTGGCATCCTTGTCCTCCGGGGTGCTCTGCTGACTCAGCTCAGCCAGCTGTAGCCCAGCACCCCTTTTCTGCTGGGCAGCTTTCCAGGCACTCTTCTCCAAGCCTGTTGTGCTGCACGAGGCTGTTATCACCCAAGTGCACTGCCCAGCACTTTCCTCGTTGAACGTTTTCAAGTGAACTCATCCCTTTGATTGAGTCTACCCAGATCTCTCTGCAAAGCCTTCCTGCTTTCACGTGCATCTCCTCTCTTGGTATCATCTGCTCCTGGGTCATGGCAACCCATACCATCAGTGCAAGCTGGGGGGTGTAAGGATGGAGCACAGCCCTGCCACAATGGACCTGGGGGTGCTGGTGCATTGCAGCTGGACGTGAGCCACCGCTGTGCCCTCACAGCACAAAGCCAACCACACCACTGCTCCTGTCCAAGCCATGGGCTGCCAGCTCTCCAGCAGAATGCTGTGGGGGACAGTGCCAAGGGCTTTGCTGACTACGTCAACAGCCTTTCCCTCATCCGCCAGGCCGGTCACTCAGTCATAGAAGGAGATGAGATTGGTCAGGCAGAACCTGCCTTTCATGAACCCATGCTGGCTGGGCCCGATCCCCTGGTTGTCTCATACGTGCTATGATTGTGCTCAAGGCAATCTGTTCCACAACCTTCTCCAATACTGAGATTTTTGGTCACTTCTTCATGGAAGCTTATGACATTTACTGAGCTTGGTGACTCTGACTTCAGCTTGGTGAAACTCTGTAGAGTGCACACATGATGGAGTGCTTATGGAGGTGTTAGGCACTGCCTTTGGAGCCCAGCAGCTCACAGTGGTGCTGAGAGGCAGCAGGGGGTGCAGCAGTGTGCTAGGCCCAGCCCCTGCCCCATTCCTGCAGGGTCTCCACTCAGTATAGTGCAGAGCAGTTCTGCCTGAATTCTGGGGTTGACTGGGCAATGGGAACCGGGAGCTCTGGCAGCCAAAAGTGAGAATTGTAACCCAATGCAAAGAAATGGAGAGTCAGGCTGCCTGAGTCCCCCTCCCCCCTCCGCCCTGTGCTGGCTGTTGGGGTGGGGGGGCAGCACTGGCACAGGCACTGCTGGGGACAGGTATTGCTGGCAGACCCCATGCACTGAGAGGGCCCAGGGCTATTGTGGGCACAGCGGGCTCCGCACAGACCTTCCCTCTGTGCAGAATGGGCTGTGGGGTGCTGGGGCTGCCCCACAGGGATGGCTGTGCCCTGAGCATAGGGCAGGGATGCTGTGATGGCCGAGAGGTGAAGGCGTTGGACTCGAAATCCAATAGGGTTTCCCTGCGCAGGTTCGAATCCTGCTCACAGCGAAGGATTTTACCTCCAGTCTGGAGGTGTTGAATGCACACCAGGGTCTCAGCCCATCTCTTGTGGGCTTCCTCCTCAAAAGCATTTCCCCGCATGTCACTGTGCTCACCACAGCTCCTCAGGCTTACCAGCAGACCCTTCTTCCTCCATGCGCACCCCAGGGCCTATTTTCAGCTCTCAACTGGATTTTGCAGGGCTTTTCTTCCCTCCCTCAAAGTCAAGCCCTGGATCCAATTTGTGCCTGGAGCCTGGTAGTAGGGCCTGAGCCCAGCAGTACCAGAGATTGCACTGCCCCCAACATCCCAAAGAGCGTTGGGAATCTCCTTGTTGTCCCCTTGTGAGGGGACCCCAACAAGCTGTACATCTTGGCTCTTTTTTGTCTAGGGCGTATGATTCTCACTTAGGGTGCAAGAGGTCCCAGCTCCTGGATGAGCCCTCCCCTTTTGGACACCATTGCCCTTCAGGCTGTGAGGACAGGACACGGATCAGACCCAAAGCCCCGAAGCACCCCGACATCTTGGGCACAACTCCCCTGCTACTTTGCTTCCCACCACGGCCAGCAGCCATGTACTGACTTGTGCTAGGCTGGCAAAACTCCGAGCAAAGTCATGGCCAGGTCAAAATTCCTCCTTGTTGGGAACATCAGAACCATAGAATCAATTGAGTTGGAAAGGACTTGTAAAGTTTATCTAGTCTAATTCCCTTGCAATGAAGAGGGACTTCTGAAGCTCAGTCAGTTTGCTCAAAACCCAGTGCAGCCAGACCATGAATTTCTCTCCTATCAGGTCTCCCCAAGACCTTGCACTTGGCTTTTTTGAATCTCGTAATATACTCCTGGGCCCACTGCTTAGCCTGTCTAGGTCCCTCAGGATGGCACCCCCTCTCTCAGGCATGACATATCATTCACCATGACTGTTGATGTCACTGATGAAGATACTAAAAAGTATCAGTCCCAGCACTGACCCCTAAAGGACACCGCTCATCACCAATCTCCATCCAGATATTGAGCTGTTGACCAGCATTCTCTGGCTATGAACTTGTCATCAGTTCCTCATCCATCAAACACTCCTGATGTCAAATCCATATTTTTCCAATTTGGAGAGAAGAATGTTGCAGTGGACTGTGTGAAAGGCCTTACTGAAATCCAGATAAATTACATCAGTGACTCTTCTGATGTCCATTGATGCAGTTACAGCACCACAGAGGGCCACTAGGTTTGTCAGGAAGGCCTTATCCTTGGTGAAACCATACTGGTTGTCCCTTATGTTGTACTTCTCTCCCATGTGCCTTGGCACAGCTTTCAGGGTGATGTGTTCCATGACCTCCCCAGCAGAGCAGTGAGGCTGACAGGTCGGGTCAGTAATTCCCTGTGTTGTCCATTTTGTGCTTCATAAAAACAGAGACGACAGTGCAGGAAAGCAGCAGGTGATCTGCAGGGATGACAGGGAGAAAGAGAGCTGCAAGGGGAGAGGGTCTGTGGAGGTGAGCGAGGAAAGGTGAGGGAGGGGTTTTGGTCAGAGGCAGCAAAAGTGTGGAGATGCTGGGGGTTGAACCCAGGGCCTCCTGCATGCAAAGCAGGCGCTCTACCGCTGAGCTACATCCCCTGGGTGGTGGTGGGAGAGGGTCTGTTGTTTAGGAAATTTTTCTCAGTCCTTCTGAGTTGATGCTCCCCCTGTAGCACCCCATGCACTGATGGGCTAAAACACAGACGCAGGGTTTCCTTTTTCCAACTCTCAACCTGTTGATGGGTATTTTGCACAGATAGCTCTTAGGGATCAATTCTTTACCTGCACTGCAACCACCTTGCCATGCCCTCCCCCAGTGCAGTGCAGTGCCCAGGACAAGGGCTGCTGGCACACTGTGCTGCTGGGGGAGCCTGGCTGCCCCGGCTTGTTGCTCTAGGGATATGGCTCTCACTTCAGGTGTTTGAGGGCTGGTCTTCAACACCCAGATGAGCCCATCTCTCTCCTACACCCCTGTGCTGACCAGCCCCAAGCCACTATCACAGCTAATAATAGACCTTGTGTACAGGTGCTGTGCCCTGAGCCACATCTGCATCAAGATGGTGTTCAAGGAGTCTCTTCCAAGGAATTCTTCCTCAGCTCTTCTCTCCTGCAGCTGCTGACTTTGCCTACCTGGGCAATGGAGGACAAAGGTAGGGTTGGGGCTACCTGAGGCTGTTCCACAGGGAGGGATGGCTGGAGTGTGGAACAGGGGTCACCCCAGGTTGTCTAGGCTGGAGCTGTGATGGCCAAGGGGTGAAGGAAGGAAATGGACTCAAAATCCAATAGTTTCCCTATGCAGGTTGAAATCCTGCTTGCAGTGATGGATTTTAGCATTGGCCTACGGCCTGGGGAGTGGGAGAATCAGACTGGTGCTCTTGGAACATCAGAACTCCCCACCAACACTGGGTTCTCATGGTTGTGTTTGTCCAGTTTGTTCCTTTGGGCAGCTGAACTCTTCCTTTCTGTGCCCCCATCTTCTGTGTCCCTGTAGCTGATAGGGCTGTACTCAGGTCAAGAGCAGGTTACAGGGGTTGGGCTCAGAAGAAGATTTTTGTTTTTCTTCACATGGTGTCATCTTGCCTTCGTGACTCATGGGCACTAAGGGGTAATGACTGCTGGAGATTTCTCTGCATGTGCTGCTCAAACCCCACAAGAGCACTGCAGTCCAAACAATCACTATTCTGTTGATCCAATACATTTTCTGTCTCCTGGCTGTAGATCAGTGCAGTTAATGAGAAACCCTGGTGCTGGGCAGAGTGCTGGGAACATTGCTGCTGCCAGCAGGACGGCAAGAACCAGAAAGACCTGTGAGGAGCCAAGCCCAGGGCCACAGGGTTTGGGCAGACATCAGGACCATGGCCAAGCTGGTGGAGTGCGTCCCCAACTTCTCGGAGGGATGCAACAAGGAGGTGAGGGCTGGTGGTGGGCTGCGGAGGGGGGCTGGTGGCTGGGCCTGTCTTGCAGCAGGTTCTGCACTGCTACTTGTGGCCTAGCTTGTAGTTTTTCAGCGCTTCGAGCCCTTCTGGGCCCGCTGAAATCAGAATTAATTCAATTCAGTGAGAACTTTCATCTTCTACCCTGGGGGGAAAGCGGTGTACTAATCTTGAAAATGCCCAAACACAGTGTGTGATCCCATTTTGCAATTCAGTAAAAAACAGGACTTTGGCAACCCCCTTCTGGCTGCCGGCAGATTGCCATAGGGTCTGGGCAGTCTGGTACACCCTCATAGAAAAACCTCACTTTCAGCTGTTTTTCCAAACATGCCACCCAAGTTAATATTGCCTGTGGTGGTTCACCTGCGTTAGGCTGCACTTTGCCCCAGGGGTGAAGGTCAGCAAACCCAAAACTGTTGCAAAACTGCTGCTTCCGCTTGGGAATGGGCTTTGTGGAGCACAATCTGTTCTGGAGTTTGAAGGGGACAGTGTCCTCAGGAACAGCAATTTGTGATGGTGCCTGTTGGCATGCAGCTCTACAAGGGCTTGAGGATACATCAGGGCTGGAAATGTCTGAGTGCCAGCTCTGCCAACTGGGAGTTGGATGTACATGCTTGGAGGTCCTGCATCTTCACTTTCTTCCTGACAAGTCTGAGGGTGGGTGCATCCCCTGCACTGCTTGGTGCAGGGTGGAGGCACCTGAGCAAAAGCATTACCCACCTTGCAAAGCTGCTGGAGTGTAGTAGGCATCTCTCCAGCCCAGCCAACTTGCCTACTTTGGATGTTTGGCAGGTGATCGAGGCGCTGGGGCGGGCCATCTCCCGGACACCAGGCTGCACACTGTTGGATGTGGATGCTGGTGCCTCCACCAACCGTACTGTTTACACCTTTGTGGGAACCCCTGAGGCTGTTGTTGAAGGGGCACTGAGCGCAGCCCGAGTGGCTTGGGAGCTCATTGACATGAGTCAGCACAAGGGTAAGCATTCCCAGAGCAAGCTGGATAGAGAAATAGGGACCAAAGTGCTGCCAGCAGGCAAGCATGTGTTTCCAGCACTGCAGGATGAGAAGGTGCAGAACAGTTGCTCATCTTCCCATTGCAGAGAGGCTGCATCCATCCTGTCCCTGGGCTACAGTAGGCATTACTGCTATAAACTCCTCCTTCCTTGCAGTGGCAATGTTCAGTCTGCAGAAAAAGCAGGGAAACGGTCCTTGTCCCTTCTTGTCTGCTTGCTTTTCCCAGCTCCTGATCTCTGCCCCGCCCCCAGGTGAACATCCTCGCATTGGGGCCCTGGACGTCTGCCCCTTTGTGCCAGTGATGAACACCAGCATGGAAGAGTGTGTTGTTTGTGCCCACGTCTTTGGGCAGCGCTTATCAGAGGAGCTGGGAGTGCCTGGTGAGTGGGGAGTGGGCAGACAGGCTCAGACCCCATACCCCTGCATATTCCCAACCATAAACATACAGCATTTCTTTTACAAAAGCTTCACCAAGGGCACAATGGGGCAAATAGTTGAAACCAGACTGTTAGACAATATGCTTGTCCCCTCTCTGCCTTGCAGTTTACCTGTACGGAGAGGCAGCCAGGCAGGAGAGCAGGAGAACCCTGCCTGCCATCCGTGCTGGGGAATACGAGGCGCTCCCCAAGAAGGTGAGCCTGGCTTTGGGAAGGAACCTCCTTTCTCAACAATTTCTCCAACAATTGCATGCATCAGCTGAGAGGTATGAGGTGAGGGTGCACTGTATTCACACATCCAGGTACAAGGTGCGCCTCACTGCGATGGATGTCCATGGACTAGAGTGAGATAGCAGGGGCTGAAGCAGGGAAGATGAGGAAGATGGGCTTGCTCAGCCTGGGGAATCCATTTAAACCCCTGTGTGACAGAAGGAACCAAAACACCCCAGAGAACCTAAATGAAATATCTCCTCTGGCTCCAAATTAAGCATTTCTGCATTAAGCCTTTGGAAACTTTACTGAGAAACGAAATAGTAGAAAGTTTTGAAGTGAAACAATTGGAAAGTGCAAGAAAAGTGCTGCCTTTTTATATCTGGGGCTTCATCTCTTTGGCACAAACATTTTTTGATCAGATGGAGGAGGTGATGAAATGTTTTGGGTGCTGCTGAGTGTGGTGGTGTTAATGGCAGATGCTGGTCGTAGATGGAGAGGCCACCTCTGGGAGGTCAGTTTGTGCTACCTACCAGCATGCTCTCATACACTCTTTCTTCCTCTCCAGCTTGAAAAACCTGAGTGGGCTCCTGATTTTGGGCCCCCAACCTTTGTTCCCCAGTGGGGGGCCACAGTGACGGGGGCCCGGACCTTCCTGATTGCATACAATATCAACCTGCTGTGCACCAAGGAGCTGGCACACCGCATCGCCCTTAACATCCGTGAGCAGGGTCGTGGTGCCGACCAGGTACCCTTGTGCTGCCCACTACCCTGCTTGTCCTGCCCTGGGTTGCCATCACTGTGCTTTGACCACAATGGTCTCCCCCAGCCTGGAAGCTTGAAGAAGGTGCAAGGCATTGGTTGGTATTTGGAGGAGGAGAACATAGCCCAGGTTTCAACAAATCTCCTAGACTTTGAGACCACACCGCTCCATGCTGTCTATGAGGAGGTCTGCTATAACGCAGAGGTAGGTAGTGCACTATGCTCATGTCAGTGGTGAGCTTTGCAAAGCTTGTCTCCCTCCAGGTTTTTGGCCCAAAACCATAACTGGGCTCTGCCTTCTTTTAGAATCATAGGATCACTAAGGTTGGAAGAGAACTCTTAAGATCATCTAGTCCAACAGCCCACCCACCCTCACCATGCCCACTAACTGTGGCCCTGAGTGCCTTTTCTTCAAAGCCTTGAGGGATGATGACTCCACCACTTCCCTAGGCAGTCTGTTCCTATGCATTGCCACTCTTTCTGAAAAGAAATTTTTTCCTCTTATGCTCAGTCAAGTTGGGCAAAGAGCCGAACCACATGTAAACCCCAAAAGCTAAGCAAGTTTTTACTAACCTCAACTCTTGCCTTATGTCCACAAGGTGAGTGCAACGTTGAAGGCCTTTCCATTAACCATGATGGGGGTCACTGGGCTGAGGTGGAAGTGGAGGCAGAAAAAGCAGCTCTGGGGACAATCATGTTTATGATGTTCTTCACAGGCTCTGAAGCTCCCTGTGGTGGGATCCCAGCTGGTGGGGCTCATTCCCAAGAAAGCCATGCTGGATGCAGCCGAGTTTTACATCAAGAAGGAAAAACTCTTCATATTGGAAGAGGAACACAAGATCAAACTGGTAATGTGAGTCCTCCCAATATTGAGACAAGGGTGGGATTACAAATAAGACCTCCATTCTCTCAAAATGCCACTGAGCAGGGACCTTGGACCCTTGTTGGATATTGGATACCCCATTACCCTTGGCTCAGGGAAATGTTGCCTGGAAAGCTGTGAGAGCACAGCAGTGGGACAAACTGATTTATAACCCTGAGGATGCTGAGATGGTCAGGGGAGCAGAGAGCCCATCCCTTTAGGACTGAGCACTGGACGCAGCTGCCCAGCCTGCCTGTGTGAAGGCTGTGAGGAGAAGGACACACAGCTCAAGGACGGTGCTTAGTATTAACAGGACATGTTCCAGCACCACTGTAAGCTGGAAAGAAAGAGGCAGGCTCTGCTCTGCTTTTCTGTCCCAGGGGGGAAGGGAGCAGGGAGGGACTTTGCCACCCTGTGAGGAATGTGCCAGATAAGAGTGAGCTAATTATTTATCCTTGTGGTTTCCAGTCACTCATGGATACCACATGCCACTCCCACCTTTGGGATGGGAGCCACTGGTGAAACCAGTCTGCCTTGCCTTGGGTAGTGGCTCTCTTCCATGGCTAATTAAAAGCGAGGCACAAGGACACAGTGGGATGTGTTGGCTGGGTGCTCGGTGCCAGGTTGGTGCTGATGTGTTGGTGCTGCTCCTTGCAGGTTGTCAGCCGGCTCGGCCTGGACTCCCTGTCTCCATTCAACCCCCGGGAGCGCATCATCGAGTAGGAGCTCCTCATCATTCCTGTCTCTGGCCAGGCTGGGGGATCTTGCTGCCTGCTTCTTGCACTAAGATTGCTTTGAGAGGGAGAAGTTCACACGCAAATAAGTTCACATGCACTATCAAGACCTTGTCCCTTTACCCTTGGATGTGGTTACAGAGTTCCAACTAGCACCTGGGCATATTCCCATTCCATAAAATGCTGTTTGCAGAGAGGCATCCCTCCATGCAGCACAATCCCTGACATCACCAGTGCATGTGTCCCCAAGTTCCCATCTGTCCCCATGAGGCTCCCTGTCTCCTTCTCTTTCCCACCCTCCTACATCTGGGAGGTCTCCCAGCGCACTGCTAGCCCCTGTCCCAACTGACCAAGGGGTGGATGAAAAGCCAGCGGAGAGGGCAGTGTGGAATGAAAAGGGACTGGCTGGTGGCAGCCATGAGCATGAGGTGGTCTGACCCATGGTGTACTGCAGGTACCTGGTGCAGGCAGGACAGGAGGACAAGGGGCTGGTTGCAAAGCCACTGGGTGCCTTTGTGCGAGCAGTCGGCGGGAGGTCGGCAGCGCCAGGAGGAGGATCAGTGGCTGCAACTGCGGCCTCTCTGGTATGTGCCCTGTGCCACGGAGCCCTTGCTTGCTTGGGTGTTTCTCCAGGCACCTGGGGGCTCCTTGGTGAGGGAACCTGGCACAGGGGTAGTGGCAGGTGCGGTGTCCCAGGGGAGGACTTAGCTCAGTGCTTTCACAGGGAGCGGCCCTGGGCTGCATGGTGGGGTTGATGAGCTATGGGAAGCGGCAGTTCGAGCAGCTGGATCCCATCATGAGGAACGTGATCCCTCCCCTCCACCAGGCCATGGATGAGCTGGTTGCCATGGTGGATGCCGACTCCCGTGCCTTCAGCAGCTATATGGTGAGGTCTCACTAGCCACGGCCCTGCTTATAGGCAAGGCGTTCCAGGAGGCAGCTCTGCATCCTGATGCCCTTAGGAGCAGGCTCATCCCCGCAGGGCTGGGGGAAGGGACGTTACTTGGGGTGGAGTGACTAATGCACTGTTAGAATGTGTCCAGAAGAGGGCCACCAAAACGCTCCAAGGGATGCAACGCTTCGTGAGTACAGGCTGGGAAAAATGGTGGCTCTTCAGGCTGGAGAAGACCCTGAGGTGATCTGGTAGCGGCCTTTCATTATCTACAGGGGGCTGTGAGAGAGAAGGGCACAGATTCTCTAGCTGGGTCTGTTATGACAGGACAAAGGGAAATGGTTTCAAATTCAAAGGGGGAAGATTTAGACTGGATATAAGAAAAAGTTTCTTACAGGGCGGGTAGTGAGGCAATGGCACAGGTTACCCAGAGAGGTGGTGGATGCCCTTTCCATGGAGACATTCAAGGTCAGGCTGGATGTGTATCTGAGCACCTGATGGAGCTGCAGGTGCTCCTGTTCATTGCAAGGCAGTTAGACTAGATGATCTTTAAAGGTCCCTTCCAACTCAATCGATTCTATGATTCTATAATTATACAGTTTTATGAAGGGGTTCAGAAGAGTATGGGAGCTAATGGTTCTGCTGTGGCCCCTGATGCACATGGGGTCTCAGAGCTCCCCTCACCCACCAAACTTGCTTTTCCTTAACTGCAGGAAGCTATGAAGCTGCCAAAAAGCACCCCTGAGGAGAGGGAAAGGTGAGTCAGATTGGCAAAGGCTTGCAATGGTAGCAGGAGTTTGCACGTGAGCTTACACACAAAAGATGAGCAACCCAGGGCTGGTCTCAGCATTCACCAGGGGCTGTCCCCTATCCCAGGCGAGCGGCCGCCATGCAGCAGGGGCTGAAAACAGCAGTGGAAGTGCCCTGCACCCTGGCAGTGAAAGTGAACAACCTCTGGTCCTCACTGAAGATGCTGGCGCACCATGGCAACCTGGCCTGCAAATCTGACCTTCAGGTACAGCCCCACACTCAGGAGCTCCCGAGGCCAGCGGGCTCACATGCTATTCTGGCTGGGGTTTTAATGCTGCCTAGCTCATTGCTTGTCCACACAGGGTTCTCCATTGCTGCTTGAAATCTATCCAGCTTTTCTTGCCAAAACTGGCCACTGCTTTCCATTTACTAACTTTTTGGCAGCTTGCAAGCCTTTCGGGAAAGATGTGCTGCATTATCCCTTGCCTAAATTTTCCCACCTGGAAGGTGGGAAGGTCATAAAATGTTTCCCACCATAGAAGCTGTATCTGGAAAAGGCAAAGAGAGGGGAGATTGCTTTCCATGGCAGACAAACTGCAGCCTGAGGGTCTGCCCTGCTGCCAGACTGAGAGGTGCTACTCTGTTTCAGTCAGCTTTCCTGAAGCCTCTTTTCACAGGTGGGAGCCAAAATGCTGGAAGCAGCTGTGTTTGGAGCCTATTTTAATGTCATGATCAATCTCAAAGACATAACAGATGAGAAATTCAAGACTGAGGTAAGCAGGAGCTGCATGTGTGTCCCAGCCCTGGTAGTGTGGACGAGGCCGGGATCCCTGGGACTCTGTTTAGAGGGGCTTTGGGGGTTGTGGGGTACCTTTGTGCCAGGGTAGAGACAGAGACACCGCAAAGACTGGAGGAGATTCCTGGGCTGGGCAGATGACACACTGCCTGTCCTTCAGACTGGAAATGATGCACCTTCTCCCTCCCCACGCAGACATCGCAGATGGTCACCGGGCTGCTGGAGGAGGCAAAGCAAGGCTCAGCACTTGTGTTGGCACTGCTGGAGAAACGAGAAGCTTGAGAGGATCTCAGAGCTGGGCCAGGGAATACAGCGGGGATACACAAATACAGATGGGAAACATGCTTGCTCCTGTCTGGGCTTCTTTGGCACCCATCTCAGGGATGCTGCTTCTCTTGGGAGGTCCCAAGGTTATGTTCCTGTTCTAGCTTTTCCTTGGCCAAGAATGATTTTCATTGCCTGGAGCAATGGACCTTGCATCTGTCCTCCCATCCATGGGGCAGAGGGAGCAGGCTGGGCTGGCAGTGCCACGGGAATCCTGTGGGTGGCAATGGTTGGGACCCCATCGTGCTGCCTGGGTGGAGATGGCTGGGCACCTAATAGCCCTCACCATCCAATTTGTCTCTGACCAGAAAACACCTTGAGACACTCTGTGAGACTGCAGCAAGGCCGGGCACTGGGGCCAATTACCTTTCAGTGCAGCGTCTTCTTGGCAGCATGCAAATGGGCCCACTGAATCACTCAGTGCTAAGGGAGGGCGTGCTGCCAAGCACCAGGCAGCCAGCAGGAGGAAGGAGGGTGCTACTGGGAGAGGCCCCTGAGAGGAAGATCCAAGCATGGGAGGCCCAGTCTCTGTCAGTCCCGTGGTCGAGGCCACCGCTGGGTGTGAAGGCAGACATCACCTCCTCTGCGGGGCAGACCGAGCTCAACCTGCTCAGGGGGCGGATGCTGGGGAGAGCCCACCATCCCTGGCTCCGTTCCTCAGCAGTGACACAGGCGGCCGTCAGCAGTGCCCTGAGCCCCCTGCCCTGCAGCGGGCCCAGGAGGACGTGACCCCCATGCCTCCCCCGCACACAGCACCCACGCTGGGTGCAGCGCACCAGGGTTCAGGGCAGGGACGTCTGACTCACAGCATCACCTGACACCACGTGATTGATCGGCCCTGCAGGACCTTTGTGCTGGGTGGGAGAGCAACGCTGACGTTTCACCCGTGCCCATGGTGACCGCCACAGCACCGGGAGTGGTGCTGCCAGTGTCATTGCTCCGCAGTGTCACCCCTGCCCACCGCACCTTCCTCGCCCAGGCAGGGCTCTGTATTTAACGGGTGCCCGAGGGCTGGGCCCGCTGCTTTGGGAGAGCCACGCCAAGGACGGCCATCAGGACTGCGCTGCTCTCGGAAGGAACTGATCTGCGGGGTAGGTGAGCAGAGCTGATCCCTGACATGGCCGAGACTGCTGGGGACAGGGACAGCGGGGGGACCAGGGCTGGTGCAGGGACAGGATGCGATTTCCTCTGTGCCCCTCTTGCTCTGCATCGACACAGGATGCACATGTGAGCTTGGCCCGTGTTGCATCAGATTTGGTGCATAATTTCCATTAACGATGGAAATAAGTGCTGGGGGGTGGGCAGTAAGTGCCTGGCACTCAGCATCCCCAGAAAGGATGGGGTGGCTGTGGGAACCTGCAGTGGGACAAGTGTCGTTTCTATGCCTGGGGCGTGTGGACTGCGACTGTGCTTGTGGCCAACCGCCAGCTGTGCAAAGGCAGGGGCCAAATGGTAGCCTGTGTGCAGTGGTGAAGCACTGACATTGCCTGTCTTTCCTTTGCAGCTTGGAGTCAGTAGAAGATGTGGAACGCTAGCCAAGGTGAGCAGCCACAGGGCTAGGGCTGGTCTGTCAGTGCCATGCAGTCACTGGGGCTTGGGAAAAGGCCTGAGGGCTTAGCTGGGTGCCAGAGGGGAGGGGAACATCACCTGTGAGGTGGGCATAAACCAGGTGGGATGCTTTGAATAGATGGGTGCATGAGCTCCATGCATTGCCTTTCCAAGGAATGCCTGGCTCTGCTGACTTGTAATCCCGCTCTTTATTCTAGGCACACCACCACCACCGCAGATGCAAGTCTGCCCATCTGCCCCTCCGAATAGCCAGTACCCTGGGCCCAGCAACCCTTGCTACCCAGGAGTGCCACCTGTCATCCCTGGGAACTGTCCCCCAGGGCCCCCTCCACCTGGCCCTCCCCCACCAGGCCACCACCACCACCATGGGCACCACCCACCGGGCCACCACCACCATGGCCACCACCACCATGGGCATCCCCCACATGGGCCACCAGGATGCCCACCTGGGTGCCCACCAGGCCCCCATGACTGCTGTCACAAGCACAAGAAGAAGCACAAGAAGAAGCACAAGTGTTCCCACAAGCACCATGGAGGCAAGGTATAGTTGCAGGAGATCCCCCAGCTCTCCGTTGTGGTCATGTGTGCTCCCCCTCTGCCCCTGACCCACTAGAGAGGGTGGTTAATGGTTTTTTTTTGTTGCTTTGGAGACTCCCTTTTAGTTTATAAATAGCCAAGCATGAGTCATTTCAGATGAGTCTTTTGAAACCTGATACCTGGAATTCCTTGAAGCAATTCTAAACAGCAGATTGGTGCAGCTCAGGGTGCACCATGCATGCAGTGAGTTAAATCAAATTCTCTGGACAGCAAGTGCTCCATGTCTGTGCTGGGCAGATATGCTGCAGACTGTCATCCCTAGTGCTGTCCTAGGGATGAATCTGGATAGGACTAAGTGAAGGACTGTAGAACAAGACCCCAGATCCACTGTCTGAGGCAGGAGTATTTCCCAAACGAAGCAAATCCTCAGCTCCTTGTGGTGTTTGATTGCTTGGAAGGAGATCTACCTTGACATTTGCCTTTGCTGGCAGAGACCAGAAACTTTCCAGAATTTAACTGAGCTGAACAATCTTGAGAACCAATGATTCCACACGAGCCCTCCAGCCGCATTTGCATAATTATATTTGCCAAGGATCATGACAGAAAAATAATGATTTCTAGATCTAAAATACAGCATGTAACAGCACTACAATAAACATTATGATCATGTTATTAGTAACTCATTTTATCGTAATGGCAAGACAGCCCAGCAGAGGTTGGTTGCCCTGGGCACAGCACCAACACTGGTAATTACCAGTAATTACCAGCTTGCAATTCATCCAGTGTGCACACCTGAGGGCACAGCTTTTGGTGCTGTGCAGACACTCAGCTGGGGGGAGGTGAGACCACAGCCACCATGGATGTGCGTTGCAGCTGCTGCCAGCTCAACGTGAACCAAGCTGGGCACTGGGAATGGGCGTGCAGCTCCTTCCAGGCAGCAGCTGGAGGTGGTGGGATGCCACACTGAGGACTGAGGGGGGGCTGTAGGAGCCCAAAAGGGACTGGGCATGTCCCTCAGTCTCACGCCTGCAGCTTCGAGCTGCTATTAGAAGTGGTGTGGCAGAGGGCTGTCTCTGTGCTGTCCTGAACTGGTTTTACCTCTTCCTCCAGCACTCAAGCAGCTCAAGCAGCTCTGATTCTGACTGAAGAAAACATCTCCTACCTGTGTGGTGGTGAAGCCCTGAGGAGACAATACATGAAGACAAATGCCTCGCAAGAGCCATCTACTGGTTGTGCTGCCCCATTCTCCCTTCTCTGCAACCTGCATTTTGCCTGTTGGTGATTTTCTCGCTTTTTGTTTGTAAATTCTTTGCCCTGGAATTGTTGTAAATAAAGGAGTAACAGCTCTGGCCTGTGTCTTTATTGAGAGGGGCTCACATCCCATCTCCACATTGAGACCCGTTCCTGTGACTGTGAATAAGAGCACAAGGAGTTGTGTGAGCTGGTTGGCACCCTGTGTTTGGTTATCCCTCTGCAGTGATGCCAGCTGCTACATGTCTTGCAGAACTCCTTAATGCTGTGTGACATTCCCCAGCTGTTGCAGAAGGGCTGGTTGGAGAATAAAGTAACTCCCCTCACTCTGAGCTGCACGAGTTGCCATCCTGCTTGTAGGCTGTCTGTGTGTTGGGGGGCAGTTGGGATCTGCTACTGTGGCTGCACATCCCTCCCAGGACACGGCTCCCGTCTCACCTGGGACTGCACACAGCCGTATTTTGTCCTTGAAGCAGCTCCCCTGCAGCTCTCCTTTCCAGCAGAGGGAAAGCACAGCAGCGATGCTGCGGCAGACAAGGCCACGGCACCCCACTGCTTTACCCCCTGTGGCCCCGACTCGTGGCCGTCCCTGCACCTGCCCTGCCAGCTCCTCTGCTCCTCGCACAATCCATCCCTGGACATCTCCTCATCCCCGCGCCGTCTCCGTCACCCTGGGTGGTTCTAGCTGAGAGCGAGCAGCTCCTGGAGCCGGGCTGGGCAGTGGGCGCCCCAGCCTGTGGTGCCAGCTCCTGGAGCCATGCTGGGGGTGCAGGCCTGCAGCAGGAGTGCTGTGTGTTCCAAACCAGCTCTACGGCAGGAGAGGAGTCTCACCTACCTGTGTCTGTTTCAGTGTCCTCCCCAGGGCAGCCCTTGGCAGGCACAGCCTGTGTGACCGGTTGTGCCAGCGTCCTGTTGGCACGGCTGCGTCTCTCTGGGGTACATGCTTTGCTACCGGTTGAATCTGCAAAGGGGAAGGCAGCGGTCACTTCCCCAGCCTGGGCAGAGATGCCATGATCCAAAGTCTGGTGTGGACTTTGGCCAAGCAGGAGCAGTCCTGGGGTGAGCAGCTGGAGGAGGTGGCCATGCTCATTGCTTTTTACCATTCTTCACAGTCCTTACCCCCAGCCCTGGGCCAAGGGAACACGAAGCAGATGAGGAATGAGGTCTGCCTTTGTCACACTGAGAGACTCGTCCAGATGGGCACTGAGAACATGGGGCAATGAGCAGGTCTGTAAGACAACTGGAGGCACAGGACAGTGAGTTGATGTCTCATCTCCCATGAGATTCCTGTGGTCCTGTGGAAATTTGGCAGTGCCCCGTGATCCTCTGCTGCAGGGACCCTTGGCCCTGCGCTCCCACATTTGTGAGGAGAATCAGAAAACAAACTTACCTTCATTTATTAGCTTAATGCAAGGAGAACTACCTGCTCATTAAAAATAAAAATTAAAAAAGAGGGGAAAGGCAGAGGTCCCAGGGTCCACTGTGTTGGCTATATCCAAATACTGTATGAGGACAGTATCTCTGAAAAGGCAGATGTTATTCCCAATTGCAATGGTGGGTGTCCTGCATGCAGGAGTGCACACAAAAATCAGCATCACATCTTTTATGCTGTATTTCCCGATGCTTATCTCTCCCTTCCCTGGTCCCCATTGGCTAAGTACTTCAGGTTCACAATCTTCCCGATGCTCAACTAAACATACGGAGACTGGCTAAACATCAATTGTTACTAGCTAAGCATATTTCGCTAATTATTTAACTTCTAACATTTGCTCACTCAACACTCGGTCATTATTTCTGGACATCTGCTTGTCCTTGGATGGAGATAATTTTGGAAGGAGGATAGAGGGCAGTGTCCCGATGCCTGTTGCATCCCAACCTACCCACGGAGTGAGACAGTCCAGAGTCATGTGGAGGCCCTGGCTTCTCTGATGGTTGTTAAGTGTGTTTTTCTTTTGCTGAGGGTCTCTTATCCAAACGGAATGGCCTTACACATGCTTTTATCCCTGCTTTTCAATATCTCACGCAGAAACAGCATTCCACAATTCCTACAATTCCCCCTTTTCTTCTTTATACGTTGTTGGTCTCTGCAATTCTTTTCTATGGCACGATTTTATAGACATCTCATCTTCTTCACTGTCTTTGTTCCCAATCTCCTCTAATACCATCATTTCAACTGAATGTGGTTGTTTCCCCACGGGTGTTTGCTTCAGTAGTGCTGTCTCAATCAATCACTGTCCCCTCACACAGGGATAACACAGCAACCGAAGGCTGTCAGGCTCCTGTTACTATAATCAAAGGGCTCAGGGATGTGAGAAGTACTGGAATCCTGGCCACCAGTGAAGACCGAGGCAAAGAACTCATTCAGTACCTCAGCCTTCTCTTCACCCGTTGAAGCCAGTTCTCCTTTTACATTTACCAAAGGAGGTACACTCACTTTGGTCTGTTGCTTCTGGCCCATGTACCCGTAGAAAGTCTTGTTATTGTTTTTAACATCCCTCGCCAAGTTCAGTTCTGCCAGTGCCGTGGCTTTCCTGATCCACATCTGCTAATCTGGACAGCATCCCTGTATTCTTCCCAGCTGACACGGCCTTGTTTGCAGAGCTTGTGTGCACCTTTCTTCGCCCTCAGCTGCCCAGCAGGTCCTTGCTGAGCCACGCCGGCTTCCTACCTCCTCTGCCCGCTTTCTTATTCAGAGGGACGGAGAGCTGTGCTCTCAGGAAGGCATCCTTCCGGTGGTTCATCTCTTCCACCTGACTGCTTGCCTGTGGTCTGTGTGGTTTGTGCAGTTGCCAGTCTATTCCCAATAGCTTGCTGACCTGTTGGGCAATCTTTACAATAAAGTGAGTTCTCCAGTTGGAGGATTTTGTTGCAGCAATCCCAAATCTTGCAATCAGTCTCCTGCAGCAATACCTTGGGTATTTCTTTGGCTTTATGGGTCCTGCAAAGGAATGCTTCTGGCCACCCAGAAAGGGTATTGGTTAGAACTAGCATATAGCAAAAGCCTGCTTTTTATTAAATATATATAAATTTGCCATTGTTGCCCTGGAAGGTTCCCTTTCCTAATAGGCCCCACTTCCTGGTTACTAGGATTGTACAATTACTTTCGAATGTCTGCCCCACTACTATGTTTCATTGTGTTCCCTTAGAACCAATCTCCATAAAATACTAGAGGGCACAGCGATGTGTCCATCTGGGTATGCACCCATCTGTCAGCTTGCTCTCTTCCCCTTTAAATCATTAATTAGATTCCTGTCCCCTCTAGAATACTTTACAGGTTCTGACTCAGGTTCAGATATTTTCAGTTTACTGTCTGGAATTAAAACCAGTTCACCAGTTTCTTTTCCTTCAGCTGCCTGTTTTGCCACCGGCAGCTGATTTCCAGTCTCCTGTACAGTGTTGCCTTTCTGATGTCCTTTACAATTCACCATAGCCATCCAGCATAACCATGCTGAATTTGTGTGCCTTGTGTGTGCGCAACCCTTGCTCTTTCCAGATGGCACCATGAGCTTATACCACCCCAAAAGCATATTTACCATCTGTCCATACATTTAGGGCTATTTCCGCCTTCTCAGTGGAAGTCCCTGCAGGGAATGGTTGTGTTTTGATTACCTATGCAGCAGTTACTGCATAACCTGTCTCACAAAACTGCTTCCATTGATGAATCCAGGAATCCTCAGCACTGTATAATGATTCCTTCTTTAGGTCTGGCCCACAGGCACTCTCCAAGCAGTCACACACTGCTGGCTCAGAGGTAGCTCTGTGATGGTGTTCTGGGCGTCTGGCAAATTGCTTCCTTCCTTCTATTTGATCAGTTGAGCTTTCTGTTGAGAAACTTGATAGCCATCTAAACCGAGAAATTCAGCAAACTCACACTCCGTTGCACACAGTCCTCTTTTGTCACTGTGGCATCCACATCCTGCAGTAAAGTTCCACCTTGGGATGGAGGAACCCGAGTCCCAGGCTCACAAGCTGACTGGTTCTAAAAATCATTGGGCTGCTCTTACAATTCTGGGTAACACTGTCCAGGATAACTGAGTCTTTTCTCCCCGTACTGGGGTTTTCCTACTCAAATGACTTTAGACTTTCTTCAGCAAAGCCAGGCAGAAAAAGGCATCCTTCAAATCCTGAATGGTAGACCCCACCTACTCATTCCTTAACTTGGTTCATAAAGTGTACAGTTTTGCCACCTCTAGGTGTGCATCCTCAACAATTCTATTAATTGCCCTCAAATCTTGTGCCAAGTGATAGCTCTCGCCATCCCATTTTCACCAGCAAGACTGGTGTGTTTTATGTGGATTCACATCCAATTAATAATCTGAACTCCAAAAAGTTATCTACTGCTTCTTCTATCCTTGTCCAATCTCATACCCTCCAAGGGCACTGCTCGACCTTGGCTGGACTGGCTCCTGATTTTAACTTAACTCCTAAGGGGGCTGCATTTTTGGCTCTTCCAGGCATCCCTGGTGCCCTCACTCCTGGGTATACCTGATTCGGGATTTCTGTAACTTCTGGGGGTACAACACTGGCTTTCCAGTGTGTGTTGAAGCCAGACTGTTTCAATCCATTGGTCTTGCTTTACCCTTAGTTCCAATTTTTTTCTTCTTCTTCTTTTTTGTTTCTTAATTGTTAAGCTTTTTCTTGTTGGGCATTGCCTCCTGTTACTGTTACAAAAATCATCTGTGGGTAATAATTCTTGATACAGCATGCAGTAAGAGACACCTGTATGCACCAGAAAACAAACCTCTTTACCCTGTTTCCCTCACTGCAATTTAACCAGTTTAAGCTCAGCAGTGGTTCTGGCACGGTAAAACCTTCCATATTCCATCATTCAACGTTTGCAATCAGAGACAGTTCCCTTCCCTCTCAGTCTGGTGCACTTTTTCCATCCATGTCCCATTTCCTTGCTGTTTGCACACTGCTTTTGGTCCACTGGGAGCAGAACCCTCCCTGGGCCCTTCCAGATCCTGCTCTACTGCCGCTGCTGCTGTTCTTAATTTCTTTCTTTCTTTGCAATCCCTGTTTCTACATACTCTCCAAGCCCCCTCAATTAATTTATCCAAGTCCCTTACTTCTGCTTCCTTTAATCTATATAGATTGGGAGCAAATAAAGACATTCTCACTCTGATTAGCAAAAGACCCTGAGAGGTGTAAACAAGTTCGGCAGACATGGAGGGAGAAAACCAAAGAATTGTAACTATTCATGCCAGACAGAAACCTCTGGACATAATCAGGAGATGTCTAGCTTGTACACCTGGCCTGGGTGTGAGCAGATGCTATGAAGGTCAGGCTGAGCGGTGGCAACAAGCCCCGCCAAACCTAAGACTGCTGATGGAAGTGGATGGCAAAGAACCATGGGACCGTTATGACAAAGGAGCAGAAGGCAGATTGCCAAATGATGGAAGAACCTATTAATTATGAATGGAACCCAGTTTATGTTGTCCCGGCCAGAAACAGGAGCAGCATGCAGTGCAGAAGGAGGTGAGCAACAGCACCAAGCTGCATCCCATGAAGAAATGGTTCTGTGCAGGCTGGGAGCAGGGTGCAGGGGGCGGCACATGGCTGAGCGGCTGCTGATGGAGTACTGCACTGAGATGGGGCCCTGATGGCTCTTGCCTTGTCAGGGAGAGCCAGGCACCCGTTGGGGACTACACTCTGTCCTCCTGGTGTAACGAGAAGGTGCAGCACTGACACATCCACTGGCGGCAGGACGCTGGCAACCCCACATTCTTCCTGACCGACATCCCAGTGTTTGACAGCCTCTGCGACCTCATCGCTCACTGCCAGGAGATGCTGCTGAGGTACAACAAGTTTGAGATGAGGCTGACGGAGCCGGTGCCTCAGAGCAACACCCCCGAGAGCAAAGAGCGGTACCACACCAGCCACAGCAGCGCCCAGCTGAGCACATGCAGATGCGGTGCCGTGGGACAGCACAGAAGGGACGAGCCCAGCTCCAGCGCCGTCTCCTTCCTTTACAAAAACTACTAATGTTATTTCAGTTTCACCTCCTCCTCCCTGGAGGGTTCCACTGCTAACACTAGGATGTAGGGTTTCCTTGATCTCTGCAGATGAAGGCTATTCTCACTTCCAGTATCCTGTCTTTCTCCATGTGCAAGTCACACTTTGTTTACAGCAGTAGTCTCCAGCCCCCAGCTTTCTCTCTCACTCTGAGAGTTCAGTTTACAAGGCACAGAGGGGAGGCAGTGCAGGGGGGTTGTTTTCATGCTGGTCACAAACTTTAACATCTCTACTTCACTGTTTTTCCCTATTTTTTTTTTGACTTTTTTTCCCCCTCCACAATTTGACTGTTTGTACCCTCAATTACACTTCCACATACCCATAACCATGTACACTTTCATATACTCTTAGCAGTTACACTTCCATATACCTTAACAATATCCCTTAACAGTTACACTCCCGTGTACCTTAATAATTACACTTTCATACACCATCAAAGCGGTTTGTCCCGCTCCCTTCAAAACCCACAAATAAAACCGTACAATTCTTCTGCTTCCACAAACACCCAGCACTTTTCTCATGGTTAGGTTACTCAGTTATAAAACGGGCCCCATTACTTCATATATGTTCCCGGTTTCTTATTTAATATTCCTCCTGCCTCACCACCATCTCTCCTATGAGTCAAATTGCAACCCAGGGGGTCTTTTCGGTATCTTTAGACACCCCTTGCCCCATAACGGCTCTTCAGGTAACGCTTTCACACCATAAACATCTAACAGTCACAAAGACAGTGACAGTTTATCTTTGGGATCCTTCTTCTCCCCACCTCCCTCCAGGCCCCAACCTTCCCTCTGTGTCCCCTTGCAAAGTAATCATGCCTAATCACACCTCTTTCTTCTCCAGTAAACAACATAAAGATAAACGTCATTTCCATCCACGAGTAGAAATCAGGCCCTAGAAATTGATCTAATTGCTCTGCTTCTCTGATAGGATCCTCAATAAAGGAGTTTGTTTCCTTCTTGAAACTCCTAACCTTTCTGCTAGTAAAAAGGGGGAAGGACGTTAACATCTCGTTTGCATTGCTCTGGTTACCTCAGTAATTGGGAATGTGCGCTCTCTCCAGTACCCTGCAGGGGATCAGCAGCATGGCCATTCCCCATGTCTGCAAAGACCTCTGCCGCTTGCACTGCTTTAGAAGCACTTGCACTGCTTTAGAAGTTGAAGGGGGGAGCAGCTTACCTACAGGATCCCATTTACGATCTTCCTGCTTCTCTCCTTTTTCTTTGAACTTCGACTCCCTCTCGTGAGGAGCTGTTTTACTTCTTGTGACGTAAGCTGATTCTATTTCAGAGAAAGAAGTCTTAATGTCTACATATAAATTCAAAGCCTGACAAACCCAACCTTCATCAGACCCACATTTTGGTCAAAATAATGATTTTCCCGCTGGTGGCCATGTCTGTACACAATATTTAAGCACTTTTTGCTGCCCTTGTCCCTAGTTTTGGGGTTATTTTTCCAATGCTGAAGCTTCTTTCCCAAGGGGCTATCTGTAGGCATGATTTCGGGGACTCTTTTCCCCTGTTCTTGGGAGCTCCTATTCCCCATTCCTCCTGCTGTGAACTCCCCAGCTCACAGGTGACTGTGCTCTGATTTTCATGTTTAGGGCCAATCCCTCTGGATAAATATTTTTCTAATATCTTGTTAGTTCTAATGCAGAAACAACATTCCATTCCTACAGCTTGTCTTCAAGGACCTCGCATTCCTACAGTTTCTGTGTTTCTCCCTAAAGTTTGCAAACAAAGTTATAGTTTCCTTGATTTGTCATAACAACCTTTTATATTTCAGCCGACCTTAAATACTGGATGAGAGATTAAACAAGAAACGGAATTCCACAGAAAGCACTTTTACAACACGAACAATTAATGATCACAAAGACAGTGGCAATAACCAGTACAGTTTTACATGGCCAATAAAGCCAGTTCAGACATTTACTCCTTCCACACGGTCCCGCTCGCCTGGTGCTTTAAACACTGAAGTGACAGATAGGAGAGCTTTCACTTTGCCCATCTCTGGCTGCCCTCCTCGTGCAGAACACGGAAGCACGGATCAGGACTCTGCATTCACTCTGCAGCTGTGCAGCGTGTCACTCGTACACAAAATCAGGAGTTACAGGAAGTGTGATGCAGATCACAATATATGCGGTACCAGGCACTTGCAGCGTGTAACAGCATTAATTACCCCAAAATCACTGCTGCTATTGCAGACAGTGACTTGCGGAGCAAACTTGACAACCACTGAGTACTTATAAAGCAGGCATGTTTTATTCAGTGTTGCACACACACGCCAGGTGCAAGGGAGGTAACCCTGCCCAACTTGCTCACCTGAGAACAAAAGGTAGCTACGTATACAGATCAAACTTGTACATATGCATAGGATTTATGAGAAAAGGGAAGGTAGTTCTGAGAAATCATTACAGCATGCTCCACCCGAGTCACACCTCCTGGGCACGTGTAGTACCTCCTGGTGGTCCTCTATGAGCGTCGTGAGGATCAAGTGCTATGCACTTCTACCCTTGTCCCTGTTGAAAAGGATGAGCTGGCCTCAGCTGGTTCCCTATCAGGTTGTGACATGCAGTTCTTGCCAAGTCAGCTCCAACAGCCAATCAGCGAGTTTGGGTTACCTTGCTCCATTCTGCACATCTGCCATTCATTGTCTGTTCTCAGCTCGTATTTAAACCTTTCCCTCTCTCAACTCACCAGGAGCACCCGGGATCCCATTACTCAGGGTGCAAGCCAACACAAGTTTGCCCCTTCACGCTTACCTGTCCAGACCCTTACACTGGGGGGAGCAACTGCCCTTCTACACCTCGCATAGGATGTCTCCTCACAGCTTACAGGTTCCCCTCCAATGTAAAGTACCTGATCTACTGATAGTTCTTGTCTGCCCCCGCATTCATTGGGTGAGGGAGGGAGTCCTTCCAAGAATCTTGGGGTGCGCCAAAGGGGTCCCCGCTCTCAGCTGGTCCTGCAGACGAACAGAGTGCCTCCTGGCTGGCCTGCCAAATTCACTTGCAGAATCAAACTCTGTAACCCACATAGGGTTATAAAGCAGGTATGTTTGCTACAGCACTGGGTGCAAGGGGGATATCTCCTCCTAACTCGCATTCCAAGAAAAGTAATGGTTACATACTTAAAGACATAATGTACACATATTTATTGCATGCCAGTAAAATGGGCTGAGAAACCATTAACACAATGTGCCACCCTCTTGAGCTTGTGCACTGCAAATATGGGTGGGGGTTCTGGTGGTCACTAGATGAAGGCTAGATCTTTCTTGCTGTGAACTTTCAACTTTTCCAGGGGTTGCATTGTGTTGCAAAAGCAACTTTGCCTCCTTATCTTCTCTGGACCCCCCTTTGAGTTGCAGACAGCAACTCCACTTTTCTTCATTAGACCCTCCGTTGCATAAACAGCAACCCTACCCTCCATCATGTTGTCAGCTCTGCCTTCTGATCTTGACAGGACTTCCTCCTCCCCAGCTGAGCTGCAGACAGCAGCTCTACTTATCTTTACTTGTCTTCAAGGATCTCTCAATCCTATGTGTTCCTCCCTAAAGTTTGTGAACAAAGTTATGATTTCCAAGATTCAGTACCCTTGTGCCAGGGTAGAGACAGAGACACCGCAAAGACTGGAGGAGATTCCTGGGCTGGGCAGATGACACACTGCCTGTCCTTCAGACTGGAAATGATGCACCTTCTCCCTCCCCACGCAGACATCGCAGATGGTCACCGGGCTGCTGGAGGAGGCAAAGCAAGGCTCAGCACTTGTGTTGGCACTGCTGGAGAAACGAGAAGCTTGAGAGGATCTCAGAGCTGGGCCAGGGAATACAGCGGGGATACACAAATACAGATGGGAAACATGCTTGCTCCTCAGTCAGCAGTGCCCTGAGTCCCCTGCCCTGCAGGAGGATGTGACCCCACGTGCTACACAGCACCCACGCTGGGTGCAGCGCACCAGGGTTCATGGTTCACAGCATCACCTGAAACCACGTGATTGATCGGCCCTGCAGGACCTTTGTGCTGGGTGGGAGAGCAGCGCTGATGTTTACCTGGGGGGAGCTGGGAGTGGTGCTGCCAGTGTCATTGCTCCGCAGCGTCACCCCTGCCCACCGCACCTTCCTCGCCCAGGCAGGGCTCTGTATTTAACGGGTGCCCGAGGGCTGGGCCCGCTGCTTTGGGAGAGCCACGCCAAGGACGGCCATCAGGACTGCGCTGCTCTCGGAAGGAACTGATCTGCGGGGTAGGTGAGCAGAGCTGATCCCTGACATGGCCGAGACTGCTGGGGACAGGGACAGCGGGGGGACCAGGGCTGGTGCAGGGACAGGATGCGATTTCCTCTGTGCCCCTCTTGCTCTGCATCGACACAGGATGCACATGTGAGCTTGGCCCGAGTTGCATCAGATTTGGTGCATAATTTCCATTAACGATGGAAATAAGTGCTGGGGGGTGGGCAGTGAGTGCCTGGCACTCAGCATCCCCAGAAAGGATGGGGTGGCTGTGGGAACCTGCAGTGGGACAAGTGTTGTTTCTGTGCCTGGGGCATGTGGACTGCGACTGTGCTTGTGGCCAATGGCCAGCTGTGCAAAGGCAGGGGCCAAATAATAGCCTGTTTGCTGTAGTGAAACACTGACATTGCCTGTCCTTCCTTTGCAGCTTGGAGTCAGTAGAGGATGCCGAAATCTTGCTTTGGTGAGCAGCCACAGGGCTAGGGCTGGTCTGTCAGTGACACGCACTCAATGGGGCTTGGGAAGAGACTCAAAGCAGCCACCAGGCACCCTGAGATATCATCTGTGTGCCAGAGGGGAAGGGGGTATCACCTGTGAGGTGGGCATAAACCAGGTGGGATGCTTTGAGTGCATGGGTACACCTGCTCCCTGCATTGCCCTTTCAAGGAAATGCCTGGCTCTGCTGACTTGTAATCCCCCTCTTTCTCCTAGGCAAATCAGGATCATCACAGAAGAAAATCTGCCAATCTGCCCCTCCAAAATGCCAGCACTCTGGGCCCAGCAATCCTTGTTACAAAGCAGTGTCAACCTGCATCTCTGGGACCTGTCTCCCAGGGCCCTCTCCGCATGGGTTCACACTGGGACGCTGCCTGGGACCCTGCGTGTGTGCCTACATGTGTACCGATGTGTGTGCCAACCTGTGTGCCAACCTGCGTGCCCACCTGGGTACCTGCCTGTCTGCACACCTGGATGCCCTCCACTCCCCGACTGATGAAGAAGCACTCCAAGAGCTACCACAGGCTACACTGAGGCAAGGTATAGTTGCAGCAGATCCCCCAGCTCTCTGTTGTGGTCGTGTGCTCCCCCTCTGCCCCTGACCCGCTAGAGTGGGTGGTTAATGTTTTTTTTTGTTGTTGCTTTGGAGCCATTTCAGGTCATTTCCCACGCCCAGCACCAACACTGGTAATTACCAGCTTGCAGTTCATCAGTGTGCACACCTGAGGGCACAGCTTTTGGTGCTGTGCAGACACTCAGCTGGGGGGAGGTGAGACCACAGCCACCATGGATGTGCGTTGCAGCTGCTGCCAGCTCAACGTGAACCAAGCTGGGCACTGGGAATGGGCGTGCAGCTCCTTCCAGGCAGCAGCTGGAGGTGGTGGGATGCCACACTGAGGGCTGAGGGGGGGCTGTGGGAGCCCAAAAGGGACTGGGCATGTCCCTCAGTCTCACGCCTGCAGCTTCGAGCTGCTATTAGAAGTGGTGTGGCAGAGGGCTGTCTCTGTGCTGTCCTGAACTGGTTTTACCTCTTCCTCCAGCACTCAAGCAGCTCAAGCAGCTCTGATTCTGACTGAAGAAAACATCTCCTACCTGTGTGGTGGTGAAGCCCTGAGGAGACAATACATGAAGACAAATGCCTCGCAAGAGCCACCTATGTTCCCCAGCTGTTGCAGAAGGGCTGGTTGGAGAATAAAGTAACTCCCCTCACTCTGAGCTGCACGAGTTGCCATCCTGCTTGTAGGCTGTGTGTGTTGGGGGACAGTTGGGATCTGCTACTGTGGCTGCACATCCCTCCCAGGACACGGCTCCCGTCTCACCTGGGACTGCACACAGCCGTATTTTGTCCTTGAAGCAGCTCCCCTGCAGCTCTCCTTTCCAGCAGAGGGAAAGCACAGCAGCGATGCTGCGGCAGACAAGGCCACGGCACCCCACTGCTTTACCCCCTGTGGCCCCGACTCGTGGCCGTCCCTGCACCTGCCCTGCCAGCTCCTCTGCTCCTCGCACAATCCATCCCTGGACATTTCCTCATCCCCGCGCCGTCTCCGTCACCCTGGGTGGTTCTAGCTGAGAGCGAGCAGCTCCTGGAGCCGGGCCGGGCAGTGGGCGCCCCAGCCTGTGGTGCCAGCTCCTGGAGCCATGCTGGGGGTGCAGGCCTGCAGCAGGAGTGCTGTGTGTTCCAAACCAGCTCTACGGCAGGAGAGGAGTCTCACCTACCTGTGTCTGTTTCAGTGTCCTCCCCAGGGCAGCCCTTGGCAGGCACAGCCTGTGTGACCGGTTGTGCCAGCGTCCTGTTGGCACGGCTGCGTCTCTCTGGGGTACATGCTTTGCTACCGGTTGAATCTGCAAAGGGGAAGGCAGCGGTCACTTCCCCAGCCTGGGCAGAGATGCCATGATCCAAAGTCTGGTGTGGACTTTGGCCAAGCAGGAGCAGTCCTGGGGTGAGCAGCTGGAGGAGGTGGCCATGCTCATTGCTTTTTACCATTCTTCACAGTCCTTACCCCCAGCCCTGGGCCAAGGGAACACGAAGCAGATGAGGAATGAGGTCTGCCTTTGTCACACTGAGAGACTCGTCCAGATGGGCACTGAGAACATGGGGCAATGAGCAGGTCTGTAAGACAACTGGAGGCACAGGTCAGTGAGTTGATGTCTCATCTCCCATGAGATTCCTGTGGTCCTGTGGAAATTTGGCAGTGCCCCGTGATCCTCTGCTGCAGGGACCCTTGGCCCTGCGCTCCCACATTTGTGAGGAGAATCAGAAAACAAACTTACCTTCATTTATTAGCTTAATGCAAGGAGAACTACCTGCTCATTAAAAATAAAAATTAAAAAAGAGGGGAAAGGCAGAGGTCCCAGGGTCCACTGTGTTGGCTATATCCAAATACTGTATGAGGACAGTATCTCTGAAAAGGCAGATGTTATTCCCAATTGCAATGGTGGGTGTCCTGCATGCAGGAGTGCACACAAAAATCAGCATCACATCTTTTATGCTGTATTTCCCGATGCTTATCTCTCCCTTCCCTGGTCCCCATTGGCTAAGTACTTCAGGTTCACAATCTTCCCGATGCTCAACTAAACATACGGAGACTGGCTAAACATCAATTGTTACTAGCTAAGCATATTTCGCTAATTATTTAACTTCTAACATTTGCTCACTCAACACTCGGTCATTATTTCTGGACATCTGCTTGTCCTTGGATGGAGATAATTTTGGAAGGAGGATAGAGGGCAGTGTCCCGATGCCTGTTGCATCCCAACCTACCCACGGAGTGAGACAGTCCAGAGTCATGTGGAGGCCCTGGCTTCTCTGATGGTTGTTAAGTGTGTTTTTCTTTTGCTGAGGGTCTCTTATCCAAACGGAATGGCCTTACACATGCTTTTATCCCTGCTTTTCAATATCTCACGCAGAAACAGCATTCCACAATTCCTACAATTCCCCCTTTTCTTCTTTATACGTTGTTGGTCTCTGCAATTCTTTTCTATGGCACGATTTTATAGACATCTCATCTTCTTCACTGTCTTTGTTCCCAATCTCCTCTAATACCATCATTTCAACTGAATGTGGTTGTTTCCCCACGGGTGTTTGCTTCAGTAGTGCTGTCTCAATCAATCACTGTCCCCTCACACAGGGATAACACAGCAACCGAAGGCTGTCAGGCTCCTGTTACTATAATCAAAGGGCTCAGGGATGTGAGAAGTACTGGAATCCTGGCCACCAGTGAAGACCGAGGCAAAGAACTCATTCAGTACCTCAGCCTTCTCTTCACCCGTTGAAGCCAGTTCTCCTTTTACATTTACCAAAGGAGGTACACTCACTTTGGTCTGTTGCTTCTGGCCCATGTACCCGTAGAAAGTCTTGTTATTGTTTTTAACATCCCTCGCCAAGTTCAGTTCTGCCAGTGCCGTGGCTTTCCTGATCCACATCTGCTAATCTGGACAGCATCCCTGTATTCTTCCCAGCTGACACGGCCTTGTTTGCAGAGCTTGTGTGCACCTTTCTTCGCCCTCAGCTGCCCAGCAGGTCCTTGCTGAGCCACGCCGGCTTCCTACCTCCTCTGCCCGCTTTCTTATTCAGAGGGACGGAGAGCTGTGCTCTCAGGAAGGCATCCTTCCGGTGGTTCATCTCTTCCACCTGACTGCTTGCCTGTGGTCTGTGTGGTTTGTGCAGTTGCCAGTCTATTCCCAATAGCTTGCTGACCTGTTGGGCAATCTTTACAATAAAGTGAGTTCTCCAGTTGGAGGATTTTGTTGCAGCAATCCCAAATCTTGCAATCAGTCTCCTGCAGCAATACCTTGGGTATTTCTTTGGCTTTATGGGTCCTGCAAAGGAATGCTTCTGGCCACCCAGAAAGGGTATTGGTTAGAACTAGCATATAGCAAAAGCCTGCTTTTTATTAAATATATATAAATTTGCCATTGTTGCCCTGGAAGGTTCCCTTTCCTAATAGGCCCCACTTCCTGGTTACTAGGATTGTACAATTACTTTCGAATGTCTGCCCCACCACTATGTTTCATTGTGTTCCCTTAGAACCAATCTCCATAAAATACTAGAGGGCACAGCGATGTGTCCATCTGGGTATGCACCCATCTGTCAGCTTGCTCTCTTCCCCTTTAAATCATTAATTAGATTCCTGTCCCCTCTAGAATACTTTACAGGTTCTGACTCAGGTTCAGATATTTTCAGTTTACTGTCTGGAATTAAAACCAGTTCACCAGTTTCTTTTCCTTCAGCTGCCTGTTTTGCCACCGGCAGCTGATTTCCAGTCTCCTGTACAGTGTTGCCTTTCTGATGTCCTTTACAATTCACCATAGCCATCCAGCATAACCATGCTGAATTTGTGTGCCTTGTGTGTGCGCAACCCTTGCTCTTTCCAGATGGCACCATGAGCTTATACCACCCCAAAAGCATATTTACCATCTGTCCATACATTTAGGGCTATTTCCGCCTTCTCAGTGGAAGTCCCTGCAGGGAATGGTTGTGTTTTGATTACCTATGCAGCAGTTACTGCATAACCTGCCTTACAGTTTCCTTGTCTCACAAAACTGCTTCCATTGATGAATCCAGGAATCCTCAGCACTGTATAATGATTCCTTCTTTAGGTCTGGCCCACAGGCACTCTCCAAGCAGTCACACACTGCTGGCTCAGAGGTAGCTCTGCGATGGTGTTCTGGGCGTCTGGCAAATTGCTTCCTTCCTTCTATTTGATCAGTTGAGCTTTCTGTTGAGAAACTTGATAGCCATCTAAACCGAGAAATTCAGCAAACTCACACTCCGTTGCACACAGTCCTCTTTTGTCACTGTGGCATCCACATCCTGCAGTAAAGTTCCACCTTGGGATGGAGGAACCCGAGTCCCAGGCTCACAAGCTGACTGGTTCTAAAAATCATTGGGCTGCTCTTACAATTCTGGGTAACACTGTCCAGGATAACTGAGTCTTTTCTCCCTGTACTGGGGTTTTCCTACTCAAATGACTTTAGACTTTCTTCAGCAAAGCCAGGCAGAAAAAGGCATCCTTCAAATCCTGAATGGCAGACCCCACCTACTCATTCCTTAACTTGGTTCATAAAGTGTACAGTTTTGCCACCTCTAGGTGTGCATCCTCAACAATTCTATTAATTGCCCTCAAATCTTGTGCCAAATGATAGCTCTCGCCATCCCATTTTCACCAGCAAGACTGGAGTGTTGTATGTGGATTCACATCTAATTAATAATCTGAACTCCAAAAAGTTATCTATTGCTTCTTCTATCCTTCTCCAATCTCATACCCTCCAAGGGCACTGCTCGACCTTGGCTGGACTGGCTCCTGATTTTAACTTAACTCCTAAGGGGGCTGCATTTTTGGCTCTTCCAGGCATCCCTGGTGCCCTCACTCCTGGGTATACCTGATTCGGGATTTCTGTAACTTCTGGGGGTACAACACTGGCTTTCCAGTGTGTGTTGAAGCCAGACTGTTTCAATCCATTGGTCTTGCTTTACCCTTAGTTCCAATTTTTTTCTTCTTCTTCTTTTTTGTTTCTTAATTGTTAAGCTTTTTCTTGTTGGGCATTGCCTCCTGTTA